CCCGCGCTAGCCTAAGGGCCACCTTAGCAAAGCGCATCCCAGGCTGCATAGCCGCACTACCCTACCCAACCATACCACACATAAACATGACACTACCCCCGGGGTTTACACAGACGAGCCGGCGAAGCAAGAAGAGCGCCAGAAGAAAGGGCCCTAGCCGGCGGGGCCCAGCCAGGACAAAAGGAGGTCCCACAAAGCGCCTACACCGGCCGCATTTGCGGTCGGGGTAGACGACGGATGGGGCCCATCTACGAAGGCTGTCCAGGCCTACACGAGATGAGGCAGGATAAAGAGGGATAAACCCCTCGATCCCAAATCATTGAGGCAATTTCTAGCCATGGAATAGTGGCGCGGCCGCTAGAGCTAGAGCAACACTTGCCGGGGTACCATTTCGTGACTCACGATATTTTTTGTACAAAATCCCGTCCTTTTAAGAGTGAATTTCCTTTACATGATATGTCAAATTCTATGTTGCATGTATTAGTTTGGATTAATTTGAGTGAGATTACAATTCAATTCTTTTGCCCGTATCTCTTACGCGCGCGCGCTTTATCGAATATTTATCATCATCGACAAATTTTCCGTTTAACAGGTAACTCAACAAGTTGCCTCAAAGCCTAAAAACGTAATTAAGGGATTATGTGATACAATCGCGGTGTGCCGATAGTAAGTAGGAGGGATTACTTCTTGTAAGAACTTTGCTCATCCCTCAAGTCGTTCTCTGCACTTCCGCCGCTGTACCCGATATTATATGCATAATTGAAAGCTGGTTGAGCCGGCACGTCATACTTGTAACGCCATTGGGATTGGGAGGGCTGGTGGTGAATGCCGAGAGGGATGATGATGTGCATTACAATGTGTGAAATGTCTGCGGTTTGCCTTCGGGGTAGTTGGGATATGTAACACAATATTTTCAGAACAGAAGTAAAGGAATTTACAAGTTTTCATTTCAATTGTTAGGACACGGACAAGCTATTGTCTGTGGTTAGGAATGAGCACCACGGTCAGTAAAAAAAGACGGTCGAGTATGGGCGTGGCTTAACTCATATTACGTCACAAGTTTCTTAACCTCTAGGATTCATGTTTGTTTACATTCGATTTGACCAGTAATTTTATATGTGTTATGTGTTTCAAAGTATCTAAGTAAATCTTTCATAGTGGGTTGTGTATTTTGAATAATTAATTAGTCATTAATAATAGTTTTTTTACAAGTTAATTGTGTAGTGTTTATTATAAACTATTTATTTACCACGTAAAAATGCCAGTCGTAGGTGTGGTGTAGCAATTTGAAATAATTTTTATAGTGCTAAACAAGACAAAAATTTTCATTTCATTTGTGTCCTAAGGATAAAAAACTTGTGATATGGGCAGAACGGTGTTTGTTTGTGCACAATTTGAAGATTCAGACTGAACGGGATTTTCAAGCAGAGCTATTAAAGTTTACCATCAAGAAAAAGGGTATTAAAAGGGTTTATTAAAACAATAGAGTAATAGTTTATATGCTAAATACTAGAAGCCTTATAAGACGGTGTAATGTTTTAGGTACTTACATAGTTATTTTATATGAAATTATAATTAAAATGGTTCGTTCCGTACAAATATATTAATATCTCTTAATAGGTAGGTTAGGTAACTATATTTTGTCCCGTATGATTGGGTATAATTCAGTATAATTTCTACATATAAAACTGAAACATTTTTATTTTTATAAAATTCTGAACATTTCTTTATAGGAACAGTGAGTGAGCTCAAGGTCAGTGACCTTAGGTAACAGTAATATATTTTTTTAGTTTACTTATACTTTATAGGTTATTTTCATATATGTATTTAAAAATTTGCACATAAAATTCTATGTAAAATTCTATATACAATAACCGTAGTTGGTACGTACAAAAATAAATTATGTTGGAGGTTGGAGCCTATTATACATTGTATATATTTAATGTACTTAGTATTTAAAGTACTTAGCTAAGTTACTTAAAGACAAAAAAAGATGCAATAAGATCATATAAATTGTACACAATTTTTATTTTGGGGTCAAAATAATACACCCAGTACAGAGAGTTACCTTTGAACCCATGCATAAATATATAGCATATAAATTAAATTGTTGCGATCACGCTATTGCCGATAAATTGAATTAGCTATAAAACAATGGATTGCTGTGGTAGTATACCATTACAGCAAAGCCGTGTTAATTTTCTATCAAGATCTAAATCTAAAATTAATGACGTTTTAATCGTAGGTGTAACAATTTTGACTTTTGGGAATCAGTTCTGTTTTATTAAGAACAGTATCATTTTTTGAAACCTATTTTTATTTTGTGATGTAGATAAAGAGTTAGGAAACACCCTAAAAATCTTATGGGCCTTCAAAATATTTTTCTTAATTTCACTTTTCAAGATAACTTCGAGTCACTTTTAAGGATATTTTTATGGAATTTTATATGAAGTGATTTTTCTTGGAGTTGAGAAGTTTTTTAACTACAACATAAAAATCGTTAACACCTTAAACATTCCGTTGTTTTTTTGCTGTTAAATACTGTTAAATATTTAAATGAATCTAAAATCAATTAATACAAACATCTATCGATTAAAAACCCCCTGAAGTATATACAAATAAAGGATTTTCTTATCAATTTTCTAAGATTATTTTCACAAAATTCATTATAGTCCAGGCGGTATCTGTTTTAAAAAAGGTATACTTGGGTAAAACGCATATGATCGGAGATTTTTGCTTTAACAGCTTCTAAATAACATAAGAAATGATAATTTTTCTATGCAAATAAAAAAAACGTGGGCTTAATTGTTATTGCAAAAAAGTATTAAAAAAATAGCAAAAAAATTCATAAAAAAATTGAAAAAAACATTAAATTATTGCAATTGTTTATTATTGCGTGAACATTGCGAAAATGTTTAAACAATCACCACGGCTCACCTAATCGTCCGATTTGAATTTTTCAAAAAGCATTTTAAAGCTTGAGAGCTCTTCTTTTTGTGATGAAATTTTCAAATATTCAAAGGCTTTAGATTTTTAGAAATTTGATTTTGAAAATTTTTTAATTTAAAAACAAATAAAAAATTTAAACAATTATTATATAAAAACTATCGAACCGAATTGGATGAAATTTGGTGTGATGATTCTATGTACTAAGAAATTTAATTGGGAAAAGTATGAAGATCCTAGGTATTATTCAAGTGTCTGAGAAAAATTGACAAATAAACTAGCATTTTTTGCAATTTTTTAAATGATTTTTCCGATTTATGTAATAACAATAATTGTTTTTTTTGAATTGCAACTAACTCTATCTTGTTCAAAATTTAATTACAAAACTTTTTTCCTCTTCCATTTTTGTCTAAAATGAATAGTTGCTAAGTTATCGACGAGAAATCCAAGAAAAAAAGAAGAATTTTTTTGCTATTTTTTATACTTTTTGCAATAACTGTTAAGCCCACGTTTTTTTTATTTGCATAGAAAAATTATCATTTCTGATGTTATTTAGAAGCCGTTAAAGCAAAAATCTCCGATCATATGCGTTTTACCCAACCCGAAACAGATATCGCCTGGACTATTAGGTATGAGGAATTAGGAGGCTGTATTTGTTAATAGATTTTTTTTACCTCATAATTGTAGCACGTCTAGTTTCCTATATACAGCCGCTCCGTACAGTTAATGGATCACCCTGTATATTAACATCGTTTTATTTGTTCTTTATCTTTACTATTTACCTTTATGTTATAATTGTAATTGTTTTGACTTCATTTGATCTGTTGCTCTCCTTGCACTATTTACTGTTTTATTTAACTATTATTTCCTTTATTCTTTAATGTATTTATATCTGTATTTTATTCATTCCAAAAAAGGATTTTTTCTCGTTAGGTGAATTAAAATTAAATAGATAAGCAAATAATTAAAATTGAAGACCAGAAATCTTTAAACGCATTTGAAAAATCATTAAAAATTATTATTGCATGTCTATATCTATTAAATGTCAACAACTCACTAGAATTTGGGGCTATGTGGAGCTGCATTCGTTGTCGTTACAAATAAAACAATTCCAACTAAAACTAGGACCAAGACGGAAGTAGTACTGCTGTTGACCATGGAGGGCTTCATGTTTCTGAAATAAAAGAAATACATTTAGCTAGCTATTTCTTCCGTCAAGAAAAGTTAAGTACATATAGTTTTATAAGAAGACCAAAGTTTCAAGCTCTAAATGTTTTAATGCTTATCTCAAATTACTGTCGAGTCCAAAAGTCTACGACTGTGCGTGTAGGGAGCGGTATATTATTATTTCAGTGGAATTATCTTAAAATCAAATTCTTAATTAGGTAAGCAGGCCTCTTAATTTAATTTGATACCATTTGAATACGGAGTATTTTTTTATGTAATGATACCATTTCACCCGTTTATTAAAGCATGTTTGTTTCTACAACTAATATAATATGCAGCTCTAACTGCTTTAATCTGTATTTACAATGCAATTGTAGATTAATAATAGAGAAGTTGCCGGAGCTAAGTCTTTAATTCCATTGTCAACTGTAGTTCCGTGTTCTGTGTATTTACAGGATAAAACTGGTTTACAAATGTTAATAAAGGTCAGGTTAATACAAGCAAAAGCGTGTAATATAAATGAGGAAAGGCAAATGTTTTAGTTTTGGTCGAGTTTGATTTTTAATTAAAATCATATCTCGAAATAAATTTTTCATTTGTTGTTTAATGTAGAGAAAATATAATGAAATAAACGAGGCAAGCTATGGTTAACTAGCTTGTATGTAGTTTGTAAATTGGATAATTCTTCCATTTTCACCTTGTTATAAACTTTTAATTAGAGTATTACTTAGTTTAGTATTACAATACGTGATATTCGCAAACGGATCGCATACAGTAACACCACCAAAGAGAGTAAATCATTTTTGTGTCGCGTACTACTCAGTTCATGAATTGACACTTACAAAATATAGAGTTAGAAATGAGTATGGTATAATTTAAAGCTCGGATTTTTAGCAAAGACAAATTGGATAAGGCACGTAAAAGACAATTTCAGCCATTAACTAAATACATTTATATAAATAATTCTCGATAATTTTATGCGATCCTATTTCCATAAATTCATCTTTCGTAATGATATTCAGGACCATTTTACTCGAAATGTGAGAGCTATTTATACATCAAGAGCAGAAAATGGCACACTGTTGCCGGAGGCCGTCTCTCGAGAGTAACTGTTTTGCTTTCAACTCTAAAAGCGACATTTTTTTGCACAAAAACATTTATCGGCCATATAATGCATAAATAATACGAATAAATTATTTATTATTAATATACAGGGTACTACTGATGCGTTAGGGGATATGTCGGAAAGTGATGCTCCTTTCGCCATATTAAATACAGAGTGTAAATAAATAAGTGCCAAAAAATAAGGACGGTGATTTTTGGTGGGGTTTGAGGTCTTTTATGTCGAAAAAATCACTGCGCCTTTCTTTAAATACGGGGAAAGTTACAAAACTGAGATTACTACCGAAAAGACATTTACTGGAAAATTGTAACGTAACATACTGGCGATAGAAAAAGGTTGTGCAATAAATTACTTATACACTGAAAAAAAATTTATTGGCCGATAATGTTTTTATTCTATTCAAATATGTATACTTTCATCAAACTATGTGAAATATTTGCTATCTATAATTTTTCTTAGAATTTATATTATTTGTAAAATATATAATTTAATTCAAATCTTTTATTGTTTTGAAATTTATTATCTCGGACTTTAGCTACAATATCTCTTACAGTTCAGCATAAACTGCAAACATATTTGTTTCAAAACTACCAGTTCCTTAAAATATATGTATTTAAAATTTAGTATTAACGAAGGAATTATTCAAGACAAATGTAGCACATTATAATCAAACTTATGTTTTCTTGAAAGAAAATTGTAGGTCACAGAATGGCGTAGGTGGGAAGTAGCACGATAGATGGAGCCAGCACCTACGCTCTGTGTATACACATCTCCTCGTAAGTAGCTGGATCGTTCTAACATACCTATGACGACCATCAATAAGTCCCAAACGGACCTATGTCTGGTTGGTTAAACTTACGAACGATTCAATTTTGTATTAAACAAATGATACATTAATATACAATACAAGACATGTTTCTTTGCGGGTAGGAGTAGTTATTTATACTCTTTGCAACCGAAGAAGAAGAAGAAGACCAAGAACAAGATCAAAAATATGATGAAGAAATTATTCGCACTTATTTCTTTACTCCCTGTAAATCATGTGGGATTTTCTCAAACCGATGTTTCATTTTCAATTTTCTTTCTTGTACAGAAAGGCTCTTCCTCTCTTTCCCGCGCTGAAAAAAAAGCTAGAAATTAAATCGACTAGGTTTCCAAGAGTATCTCCTCCGGCTCCTTTGGGGAAAAATATATACGTCCGCGGGAACTTTATTGCACACGTACGCGCCGTAAGGGAGAATCCGCCACTTTTTTCAACGCTCTATCCACACATTTCCTGCATGATTTATTTCCCGCCCTTTAAGGTAAACGCATTAAGAACCGTCTTTGTATGCAAACCCGACCCTGGCAAGCTATGAACACGTCTATCGGTTAAGTAATTTTGTTTCTTGTAAATTGGACGCTCATGAGATTCGCCGCTATGATGAGTTTGTTGAAAAGCAAAAAAAGGTACAGAGAAAAAGTAACGACAAGGAAAGGAGATTCTGTGCCCTAGCAAAGAGTAACAAATAAATTTATAACACGTTTGCAATGGTTTTTATACATAAAAAATTGTAAATTGAAGGTCACGCGCTTGAATGTATGTTTTTTTACGATGTATTGTTAGTTTTTACGTTGTACTCCTAATAGTTTATGTGTTTGTACTCTTCTTGATGTAAATCTACGAAAAATTGTGGATTCATAACGACCTGTTTTGGTTTAACCAATCACATTAATCACATAGTCACCGTGTGTTGAGAACTGTGATAGCGGTCTAGCAGATCATGTTTAGATTAATTAGTGTCACTTTGTCACTTTTATAAAATGTTTTCTATTTTTTTGAGCCATTTTTGACAGACCTATAACATTACCGACATTTTTTTAATAGGTCGCTGTATATTTTATAGTATAAATAGATACCTAGCCCTTCTAAAGACGAATTAAGCGATATATACATATGTACCTACTTTTTTGTCATAGTTGTCAAAAAATGGAGAAATTAAATGAAAGCAATAATTTATAGTAGTAGGATCGTATTCGATGCAAAGTACAGTAAAAAATTGCCGGTCTTTTATCAAAGGAAAATCGTGTCATCATTTTTAGGAGACGTAAGATGAACCATTTCAAATTTAAAATGAAACTGAATGTAAAATCTGAAATATAGCTGCATACGCACCGTGTTCTGATAGTATCTGTAGTCGCCCAGGTGCATCGAGTGTACGAAGTGGTCGGTTATACGTCAAATAGTAACCTGGCAAGCTTGGTCGTAAATCAGAGACCGCCTCCAAAAAACAAGTGAACAACAGTGGCGCGTACAGAGGTAAAATGTAGTACATATGTGGAATTTAAAAAACAAGTTGGATTTATAATAAATTATATTTAAAATAAATAGTTTAGAGAATAAAGGAATTTTTGTAGACGTGAACTGATCCCTTTGTCTCTTCATAATGTATAAAGAAATTATTCAATTTCTAAACCCCTTAAACCCGTATTGTACTGGATCCCTTGACCGGCAATGATTTATTACTTTGCATCGAATACGATCCTACTACAGTACTACTTTTTATTTTATTACAGCAAATGTTCAAAAGGGCCCCTATTAACCATTGCACAATGTAGCCCAGTAAATGAAATTTGTAATACATGTAAATCAAAAGGTAATTCGTTTCAGATTGAATCTTGGTTTAATCGTTAGTTTAGGCAAAAAGAAATAATAATTCCCAAAAAGTATCGGTTTAAATCAACAAGATCGTTGTTTAACCAATGATTATAATGTAAAAATTACCAAAAATGGAGTTTTTTAGCTGTATTAAAAAGCGCTCCAATAGGAGTTTTTGCTTTTATTTATACTTATAAGCTTTTCAAAAAACACTTTATTTGAGACCTGCTAAATTAAAATCCATTAACAATTTGTTTAAATAATTGCAAAAAACCAGAGAAATTTGAATTTGCTATAAATAGAAGAAAAGAGCATAAATCGTCTCTAAACTGCAGTAAAAGTTGTATTTTGTTGCGTTTAAGAAACCCTGAAAATTTGGTAAAAAAATATTTATTTGTTTACGAGTTCTTGCATTTGATTATTAGAAATAGCATTTTTTTAATTGAAAAAACGCGGTTGTTAGCGATATAATAAAGGGCCTTATGAGGGCTCATTTGTTTCGTCTTGACTTATATTTTCAAGATATGCAATTGGAAATTGTAATTTCATAGGTTAACCCCTCAAAACGGCGTATAAAGAAATAGTATAATTTGTTTATATGGTTTTTTGTTAATAACTTTGCGAAGAATGAATAAAATTGTTCTAGGACCATTTTAAGCCGAGATAGCGTTTTTTTTTTAAATTCATAACTTGTTTATTTATAAACATTAATATTTGAAATTTCGGGAATAAATCAATCAACCCTTAAACTTCAGAATAACGGTTAAAGATATAAAAAAATGCATTTTATAGTAATTTTTAACCCTTTAGAAAACGTCCTCGAATACATTTTTACATCTGGAATGTGGCGGGGGAAATAAGACAGAAACGTTCTGAAACTTCAAATCTTAACTGCCCGAAAATTTTGCGATATCTCCGGTAATTGTGGACCAATTTTAACGTTTTTTCTTTAATCTGGGGTAGTGCATGAAAATGCATGAAAAAAAAACTGCACGGTCCATTTTGCAATAATTAATTATTAATTTGATATAAACTATTCATTTTGTAAGAAAAAATTTTTTTCGCATTTTTTCCAGAAATAATTGTTGACGATGGAACCAATAAACAATTTTCTTAAAAAACAATATTTTTATGTAAAAAAATTCAGGAAATGACATATATTTTATGTATAAAGTTTATTTTAATGAGAATCGAGTTTTTTTGATGTTTTTTACGTGTTTTAAAATGTAATATGTAATTTAATGTT